AACGATGTACTGGGTAGAGGAGACGCATGTAAACCCTGCCACTGGCGCCTTTGGTGGAGTTCCCTGTGGGGCCACAAACCGCTATATTGTGCGGGGGAGACGCCTGTAAACCCTGCCACCGGCGCCGTCGGTGGCGCTCCGTATGGGGCCAAGAACCGCTGCACTGGGTGGGGGAGGCGCATGTAGACCCTGTCGCTGGGGCCTACGGTGGAGCTCCCCGTGGGGCCACGACACGCTGTCCTGGATGAGAGAAGCGCATGTCAACCCTGCTAATGGCGCGTTCGGAAGAGCGCCCTATCAGGCCACGAAACGCTGTACTGGGCGGGGGAGACGCATGTAAACCTGCCACTGGCGCCGTCAGCAGAGCTCCCTATCGGGCCACGACACGTCTCAGGGATGTACCAAAGCTCACTGCGACGATGCTCACGGTGGGGCGATGTTGATGACGACGATGGTGATGATGATGCTGATGATGACGATGATGCTGATGAAGATGATGATGCTGATGATGATGATGATGATGATGATGATACATATTGGTATGGTGATGATGATGATAGTGATGATGATGATGATGATGATGACGATGACGATGACGACGATGACGATGACCATGAGGATGACGGCGGCAACGACGACGACGACCACGACGACGACGATGACATCGACGACGATGATGATGAAGATGAAGATGAAGATGACGATGACGATGAGGATGAGGATGAGGATGAGGATGATGATGATGATGATGATGATGATGATGGTGGTGGTGGTGGTGATGGTGATGGGGATTGTGATGGAGATGGTGATGGTGATGGTAATAGTGATGATGATGATGACGATGATGATGACGATGACGATGACGATGGCGATATCGATGACAAAGATGATGATGATGATGATGATGATGATGATGATGATGATTGGGATGATGAGGATGATGGTGGTAATGGTGATGGCGATGATGATCATGATGGTGGTGATGATGATGTCGTTGACGATGACAATGATGATGCTGATGATGATGATAAAAGCGATAGTGATGGGGATGGATATGATGATGATGGTGTTGGTGATGCTGATGATGATGATGATGATGATGCAGCTGAAGATGATGGTGATGCCGCTGATGATGATGGCAATGATGCAAAGTATGAAACTGATGCCTTGAATGATGATGATGATGATGATGATGACAATGCTGATGATGGTGTTGATGACGATGACGATGATGATGATAATGACGACGACGTTGATAAATATGATGATGATGATGATGATGATGATGATGATGATGATGATGATGATGATGATGATGATGATGATGATTATTGATTTGATGACGACGACGACGCCGATGACGACGACGACGACGACGACGACAACGACGATGGTAATGATGATGGTGATGATGTTGATGATGATTAAAATGATGACGATGAAGAGGAGGATGGGAGGAGGGAGAAGGGAGCGGGAGGATGACGTGGGACGCGCGGCGCTGCCTCGTCAAAACGAAGGCCCGATACCACAGGATGGTTGGGAAAAAATGGCCCGGCGAAGAACCCAACCATATGCAGCTGAGAGTACCGCTAGATGGGCTCTTCCTTCAGCTGGGTGGGCCCTAATCCAGCCGGACTGACTCCTCTCCGCTGGATGAATTCTGAGTTCGCCGGATGGGCTCTGAGAAAGTAATGCAATCTCATACACAAAACGAATTTTGGGTTTGTCAACCCCGCCGACGGAGAACAGCAACAAAACTAAGACAATACATTTCGCACACGCCTACAACGCACGTGCATGTATTCCGATTGGGTCTCTCCTGGTGTTCCATTGAGTGCGTGCATTCCCGTGGGTTGCTTTGTGCATCCTGCTTGGTTGTTGTTAGCAATTCAGTCGGTTCATGCACGCATTCCTGAAAGTATTACTGGGGAGTCCCAAATGTGTTTTGGATTATTTCGGCAACGGCCACATCTTTGTGAAGTAACCCTGATTACATAGAAAACAAACCAAAGGTATTATCACGAAATCCGATGCTTCTTCCCACTGACGTTTTAATGTATTATCAGTGGTGTTCCTATGGACTCCTATGGTTACTCATACTGGTGCCCGGAGGTACTTCTATGGATTCCGATGGGCACTGCCTTCCAATAGGTACTCCCATGGATTGATCCGTTGATTCTTAGGGGGGATGGCGGAGACGGATCATATGAAAGGGATTGTAATCAGCAGTCAGAAGACAGTGAGGACAGGAGACAGGAGGGTAGATGGAAACAGGGAGCGGAGAAAGGAGGGAGGACGGCAATGAGAAGCAGAGGGAGGGGGAGGGAGACATGGAGGAGAGAAGAAGAGAGGAGTAATACAGAAGGAAGAGTGGCACATAATGAAAAAGTGTAGAAAACCAGACTAAGAAACAATCCGCTGGGGTATCAACTCGGTTCCGTGGGAACGCACGGGATCTGTGTGGGAACCAAGTTTGGTCTCTGCGATTGGCCATCGGGGGGACCCGTCGGAACCCACAGGAGCTTGAGTGGGACAGCCCGTAAAGATACCAATAGTGACCAATAGGAACGCCACTCTGTTCATACAAATTGGAAACATATCCATAGGGGACACGCATAAAAAAGCCATATGGAAATCCACAGGAGTACAAGTGGACACGTTTTGGAATACATAGAATATGCGGACGGCCACTTTTGAGGGCCCACTCTCTCCTCGCCCTCGTTTGTCTCGACTGCCTCCTCCTCTCTCTCTCTGCCTTCGGGCTTACGGGCGCCCACGACGGCCCAAGAGGCCCTCAAGAGCGCTCTATGACGGCCACCAAGCCCACAAGAGGGGCCCAAGAGGCCCCCAAGACGGCCCCTAGAGGGAGAACCTAAACTTCTATCTGGAACCCTGGACCGCAAAATGACCTGAGAGACCGCCAGAACACGCAAAAGGCCCCAAGAGGCCCCCGAGAACCCCCAAAAACCACCAACACCCAATAGACCTGGCCCGGCACAGAAACGGAAAGAGCGCTTCACAAACAGAAACCGAAATTACTCGCACCACCGTTCGTACTGGGAGCCTTGGCGTTGAGAGCTTGTTACGTCACCCCTCGCTCTTGGGAGCCTTGGTGTTCAGAGATTGTTGCGTTGCCGCCCGTTCCTGAGCCTTGGCTGGGCCTTGGTGTCAGGAACTTGTTACGTCACCGCTCTCTGCTGGGAGCCTTGGTCTTATCAGCTTGTTTACGTCACCGTTCGCTCTTGGGAGCCTTGGTGTGAAGAGCTTTTTGCGTTACCGATCGCTCTCTATTTGGCGTCTCTGGGCCTTCTTGGGAGTCCTATTGGGGCCCTTGTCGGGCCCTTTTGGAGGCCTCTTGGGAACCTCTTGGGGGCCTCTTGGGGCTTCTTGGGGGGCTCTGGGGGCCTCCTGGGAGCTTCTTGGGGCGAAAGGCTAAACTTTTCGGTTCGTGGTCCCCCTCTTGGGGCCGTCTTGGGGCCCTCTTGGGCCGTCTAGGGCGCCTCTTGGGCCGTCTTGGCGCCCTCTTGGGCCGTTTTGGGGGTCTCTTGGGAGCCTCTTGGGCCGTCTTGGGGCGGTCTTGGGGGCCTCTTGGAGAAAAACCTTGTATGCTAAAAATGGACCTTTTCCCATAGGAAATCAATGTTTTTCGCCTCCCTGTGGCCTCTTGGGACGCCTCTTGGGGGCCTCTTGGGGCTTCTTGGGGGGCTCTGGGGGCTTCCTGGGAGCGTCTTGGGGCGAAAGGCTAGACTTTTCGGTTCGTGGTCCCCCTCTTGTAGCCGTCTTGGCGGCCTCTTGGGCCGTCTTGAGCGCCTCTTGGGCAGTCTTGGGGCCCTCTTGGGCCGTTTTGGGGGCCTCTTGGGAGCCTCTTGGGCCGTCTTGGGGCGGTCTTGGGGGCCTCTTGGGCCGTCGTCAACGCCGTGAAAGCCGACAAAACGCATATGCTAAAAAAATAAGTTTTCCTCCGGGAAATCTATGATTTCGGCCTCTTGGGGCCCTCTTGGGACGCCCCTTGGGCGCCTCTTGGGGGCCTCTTGGGGGCCTCTTGGGCCGTCTTGGGCGGTCTTGGGCTCTCTTGGAGCGCTCTTGGGCCGTCTTGGGGGGGAACCCGAAAACATGCAAAACCCAAGGGGAAACCCGAAAACGGCCATTAACACCCAAATGCGCACGCTACTCCCCTCCCCTGGAACCCCTCCCTTTAGGGCTTCGCCCACACCAGAACGTCATCACTCGTACCTCGCTCTTTCCGTTACCTCAAAGAAACCTCCAACAGACTCCCGAAAGGCATCCCCAGAAACCCCGACAGGGATCTAAGAGGTCCCTGATCCAAAACCAAGGCAAGGTGGCGGTGTTGGGCAGAAGGCCTAGGGATCCGCCGCCCCCTTCTACTTGCAAGTGGGCGATTGGCGTGCCAAGTTATCGAGCTCCCCTTGGCGGTCGGTTGTCCCGACCAAGATGGCAACCAAGTCGGCATCCAAGACGGCCATGGATCATCCAAAATGACTTCCAAGACAGGCCACGGCGCTCCCCAGACGAGTCCCCAAGACGGTCCAGATAAGCACGCAGACGGCCTCCAGAGGTGTCTGAGGGCCCGGGAGCAGCCTGACACGGCCCAAGACAGCTCCAAGGCGGCCCGAGAGAGCCCCAACAGGCCCTCAAGACGGCACAAGTGGCCCGAAATGAGCTCCAAGAGAGCTCGGAGATGACCCCAGAAGGCTCCCCCCCACTGTCCCCCTAGTGGTCTCCCCAAGCGCATGGGGAGCACGAAGTCCACTAGTACGACCGTACATTCGCTCGACCTTTCACACAGTCGGGTTCATAACGCAGGATACGGCGGTGTTTCGCCGTTTACGGCTTCGATAGGAATGCAGCCGAGCGAGCTCAGTTGCCGCTGACGCCCTCATGCTGGCGAGCCTTCCCGGGGTGCGCTGACAAAGGGCATTATGGAATGGCCCTTGTTTTTTTCGCGCGGACGTTTGCCACAACTAGTCATAGCCGCGAACCTGCGTTGACAAGCCCCCGCCACAAGCGCAACATGCTGTGGAAGCGTCGTGCTCATCGGTTGCCCAATCCGCAAATGTGCCCCAGAACTTGTCATCCCATCCGTACCCATAACTTCCAGACTTGTTGCAAAGAGGTCCAGATCCGTAGCCCAGCTCGTAGGTAGAACAAGATCTGCCAGAGCTGTCTACCCAAGGTACGTCGACGCAGACCTGGAAGCAATGGATTATTTCCCGCCCTGTGCGATCTGGGCGCAAGAATGGTGAATGAAGCGGTAAGGCGCATGAAGAGTTATAGGCTTCAACAAAAGAGGGAGCGCGTTTGACATACGCTTGGCTTTACAACAGGGCAATGGGGGCCTCCGAAACAAGGGGTCGCCCAAATCCCCCCTAAGATGACTCCGACGGTAGGACTTACATGCAAATCGTCCAAAGCAGCATGGAAGTAATCCTCATCGTCGTTCTTATGACTACAGAGGCTCGCTTCCTGCCTGGTGCCTGCTGGTGCTTGCCTGCGCTTACCAGCTTGATTGAGGATGGCCGCCTCGGATTACCAAGAACGCTTGGCAAAGGGAGCGAGGCTCTCGCTCGAGACTTTCCAAGGATTCGCACTCAGAGGTCACCAAGCCAGCGTTTTAAAGTGGTATTCCGATGGCCGCCTCGGGAAAATAACACGGAGGTGGGGGCTCCATGGGGAGGGGTTCCCGCTCGCGACTTCCTCGCGATTCATTCAGAGGCAAGCGCCCGACGAATCCTCTCAATTTACTTGGGGACGAGGCTCCCGCACGAGACTTCCCCGGGATTCAGGTTCCAAGTATCCAGGTGGACGCCTCAGATTACCAACGCTTGGCGGGGACACTATATGGGAGGGGTCCCGCTCAACACTGACTCGCGACGCAATCACAGACGAAGCCCCCGCCTGACACACCCTCTCAGCTTGCACAGAAACAAAGTTCCCCCGCACATGTTTTGAGACGGAGACATCTGTTGGCGACGGAACGTTGGCCCAGCGGCGGCTACGAGCGAGAGCAATGTCTGGAGACACGTTCGCGGTGCGTTGGCCGCTGCGGGCGTGGCCACCGACGCTGGTGTCAGCAAGCGTGGGTGGGGAGGCAGTAGGCGTAGTGAAGCCAGTGTCGGCTCCGACGACAGACGTGACAACTGCGGGGGTTGCCACCGACGGGTGGGATGTATCAGGCTCCGCGGGAGGCGAATCCAGCCGTTGTCGCGAGGGTCGAGGCGTGTGAGCACGCGGGGGCGGCGGAAACGTCGGAGAATCGGGTAAGACTTCCCCGAGAGCCGCCGCGAAAAACGCAGCACTGCTGTCACCTGAGATGGGGGAAATGGGTATCACAGTTTGAAGGTCGCTGAAGGGGCAGCGTTGTTTCCAGGGCCAGATCCCCGTACGCTCGACGGGCGCGCTTGATCGGTCAACAGCAATCCTTGCAGCCGCCCGTCGCGAGAAGCTCGGATTTTAGGTTTACCTTTGCCGACGATTGGGCTGCTCATGCTTGCTCTTGCCCTGCAAAAGCATTGCCCTCTCCCGCGTCGCCCCAGAAACACAAATCGCGTTCGCTGCCCCTCAGCGAGCTTCAAATCACAGTTTCTCGTGCCCTCTCCATGATGCCGTCGCGTACACGCGCCGTCGAGGAGATCGCACGCTTGCGGGCAGCGCAACGAGGTTGCGACGCCGAGCGGCGGAATCCACGATGATGCGAATTGCAACAGCAAAGAGCGGTTAAGAAAAGGCTGATAACATGTGAGTACAGGGAGACGGCCGAGGGGCCGTTCCGAAAGTAAAGGCAAGGAGGACGACTCCTTTTCTCCAAGGCGCTGCGCAGCGTGCAGTGCTCTGTGGTGAGTAAGCCAATACCTTGGCCAATACAGTTGCGGAAGGGATGTCATAGAGAAGTGAGCGGATTTCACACACAGGAGGAGGATGCCCTCCCCTAACGTGGCCCCCGAGGACTCCACCGCCCCCGCCCCCTGCCACCGACGGTGCGGGCCTGGCCGGCGGAGGCTGCAAACGCGCAGAGCGCCAGGCAGGCCGCGAAGAGGGGTCGCTCCTCGGGCGCGGCGCGCGCGGCCGCCGGACGCCCAGAGCGGGACGGACGAGCGAACGCACAGACGCCCCCGCAAGTCTGCCCTTTTCAGGCGGCGAGCGAGGGGGGAAGCGAGAAGGAGGAGGCCTTCTCAGAAGGCGGCGGGATTTCTCAGCAGCCCCCGCGAGATTCTGAGAAGATTTCTGTCTTCAGGGAAGGCTTAGAAAACTCCTCAGAAGGCCGGGGGACTTCCGAGCCTTCTGAGAAGGCCTTCTCCTTCTCACTTCCCACCACAGCTCGCCGCCGACTTACTGCCAAGAGCGCCCACCCGCTCGCGCTATGAAACAAAAAACACGAAGAAAAATGCTTTACTATTTTTTCGGCCTCCGGGGACCCTCACCCGGCCTCGGGACCGTCACAAAACGGCTCAGGATGAAAACCGATCCTGGGGAATGGGTCCAGACCTCTGGGGGTCGCGTCGTGAAAAATACATGGGAAAATCAAGACGAGCGAACGCACAGACGCCCCCACAAGTCTTCCCCTTTGCTGCCAGAAGCGCCCACCCTTGAGAGGCAAGCACGCCTGGGCCTGCCAGGAAGCATGCATGAGGACTCTGACCCGCGCCAGCATCGTGGTCGCCGCCGCCGCCTCCGTCGTCGTTCCCCTTCGGGGCCAGCGGCACCGGCCGCAAGGCCTTCGCAGTCATGGAGAACATCACGACGAGCGAGCGCACAGACGCCCCCGCAAGCCTTCCCCCTCTGCGGCCAGCAGCGCCCACCCTGGACAGAGAGAGAGAGAGAGAGGCCAGCTCGCCCGGGGCCTGCCAGTCCAGCGAGGGTCCGGCTCGGACAGAGCAAGGGCCGCCGGGCAGCTCACCAGCGCGCACGTGCTCGGGCACGTGAGCGCCAGGGATCGCTCGGGGGCGCGCAGGCATGGGTTCGCGATCCATGGATGTGTCCAGCCTCTCGGAACCTCGGGAGAACCTCCAGAAGCGGAGAAGGCGACGGCCCCCACTAGGAGGAGGAGGAGGAGGAGGAGGAGGAGGAGGAGGAGGAGGAGGAGGAGGAGGAGGAGGAGGAGGAGGAGGAGAGAGGAGGAGGGGAGGGGGAGGAGGAGGAGGAGGAGGAGGAGGAGGAGGAGGAGGAAGAGCGAGATGAGAGAGGTATGGGAGGATAAGGAGGGGGAGGAGGAGCAATTATCAGGATAACAAGGAGCAGGGGATGTTTGTGTGTACTTTTCCCCCCGTTTGCTCAACCTTCCCACGTGCGCTTGCGATCGCCATCGGGTTCCCCGTCCCACCTGCATCGCCACCTTCCTGGTCAACCGCCGCAACCTGCACCACAAACCCTCCATCTGGCTTAGATTTCGCGAGGGCGCTGCTGTGGGCTGCATCCCTGCGGGACACGAACGACCACGTCCTGCTACTGGGATACCTGAGCACTATTGGCGACTGCGTCGAAGCCCTCGGGGGCGCTGCTGCTCCAGGGAACCCCCAGTGCCTGCTCATCCGTCGCCGCCCGCCCCCAGCCGACGCCCCCCTTCAACTCCGACGCAGTCGCTGACCGCTGACGCGGCCACAGTCGGAGGAGTCCCCCTGGCTGGCCGTGGAGCTGGTCACGCGCCCGGCTTACGACCTCCTAGGGCTCCCAACTTCGCGCTTCGCGCTGCGCGAAGCGCGAAGCGCGAATAACTTCGCGCTCTCGCGCCGCCCTCCCAAAGGGAGAATAGGAGGACGAGGAGGAGGAGGAGAAGGAACGAGGACCGCGAAGCGCGAATAACTTCGCGCCCTCGAGGGAGCCCTTGACCTCGGAGTGATTATCCCGTGCCGCGACTGCCCCTGCCCACGCGCCGAGCTCCGACCTTGCCACGAGGTGCAACGTCTGATGTCTGCCTGTGGCTCGAGGATCTGGGCGTAGCCACCCCACCCAAGGGCTCCTAAGTTCGCGCTTCGCGCTGCGCGAAGCGCGAAGCGCGAATAACTTCGCGCTCTCGCGCCGCCCCCCCAAAGGGAGAAGAGGAGGACGAGGAGGAGGGGGAGGAGGAACGAGGACCGCGAAGCGCGAAGCGCGAATAACTTCGCGCCCTCGGGGGAGCCCTTGCCACCCCACCCCACCTGCTGGTAGCCCAGACCCCCTCGAGTCGTGCAAAAAAATCACGACGGGAAGTGCTTTGCCACCTTCGGCCGGGCATCGAGACCGTCCAAACAACGGCTCGGGATGGAAAGCCAGTCCCGGGGAATGGTTCCAGACCTCTGGGGGTCGCGTCATTCCAAAAGCATGACGTCGGGGGGAGGAGGAGGAGGAGGAGGAGGAGGAGGAGGAGGAGGAGGAGGAGGAGGAGGAGGAGGAGGAGGAGGAAGAGGAGGAGGAGGATGAGGAGGAGGATATTATATCAGATCATATTACCCGTGGAGGTCTAGCATCCGCATTGCTGCCTACTGCGTTCGCCTCTGGGCGTCGCTTTGCGACAGTTGAAGTCCCACTAGCCTCGAAGGCCCGCGGCCTCTCGGACAGGGTCCGCGCTGCCCCTAACAGAGGCGACCTGCCCCGCGGGCGCGCAACCCAGGCAGGCGCCCCCGAGGGGACTAGCGTGCACCTTCCCCCTTCCTCCCCCCACGACCGACGCGACCCCCAGACCCCGACGCCCGCCCCCTTCCCACGGAGCGGCCAGGCCCTGTCGCTCGCCACGTGTCGGTGTAGAGCTGGCCCTGATTCACTGGCTCGGAGTCTGCTTCCTCCTCCCCAGCGTGCTCCGGAACAGCGTTTCCGGAGCACGTTAGAGCGCCCGTCCTCATATTCCTCACAGGCCTGGCTCGAGCTCGAGAGGAGGCATCCGAGGGCAGTGGCGGCAAGACGGTCACAGGGACGGTAGGCAAAGAGGGGGAAGAGTACGAGGTGAGCAAACTCTGAGGCGAGGGAAAAACTGCATCGGAGGAGGAGGAGGAGGAGGGGGAGGAGGACAAGCTAGGTGCGCCCGCGTCATATCTGACGTCCTACCCCTCCCTCCCATCCCTTACCATGGCGTTGATTTTCTCTATCCGCGGACGCGTGTCGTAGCGGACCTGTGGCTCCGCGCGCGCGTGCGTAGTGGGTGGTGGTGCGCGTGCGTGCGTGCGTGCGTGCGTGCGTGCGTGCGTGCGTGCGTGTGTGCGTGGTGGTGTGTGGGTGGGTGGTGTGGTGGTGTGGTGGTGGTGGTGGTGGTGGTGGTGGTGGTGGGGGTGGTGGTGGTGGTGGTGGTGGGTGGTGGCGGGCGGATGGGCGCGCGAGAAAGAGGCCCGCGCTGGGGCGAGAACGCCATCCTGAACGACGGAGGCCAAACACCGATCCGAAAATGAGGCCCACGCTGCAGCGGGAGCACGATTCGGAACGATTCGGGAGCAGAAATGAGGCCGGCGCCTCAGCGAGAGCAGCATTTTGAAAAAACGCAAGCGAAAACCCAACTCCCGGGAATCCTGTGTAAAAAAACAGTACGCGGGGGGGGGTCGAATACTTTCAGGCCGCCATCGGGGGAAGAGGGAGAGTAGTACTCATATTGAGTAATTGTGGAGGAGGAGGAGGGAGGAGGAGGGGAGGAGGAGGAGGAGGAGGAGGAGGGGAGGAGGAGGAGGGAGGAGGAGGAGGAGGAGGAGGAGGAGAGGAGGAGGAGGAGGGGGGAGGGGCAGGGGGAGGGGAGGGGGAGGAGGGAGGAGGGGGAGGGGGAGGAGGAGGAGGAGGGGAGGAGGAGGAGGAGGAGGAGGAGGAGGAGGAGGAGGAGCAGGGGGAGGAGGAGGGGGAGGGGAGGGGGAGGGGGAGGGGGAGGGGGAGGAGGAGGGGGAGGGGAGGAGGAGGAGGGGGGGAGGGGGAGGAGGGGGGGAGGGGGAGGGGGAGGGGGAGGAGGGGGAGGAGGGGGAGGGGGAGGAGGAGGGGGAGGAGGAGGAGGAGGGGAGGGAGGGGACAGCAAGGTGCAGACCTCGGGCCACTGCAGACCCTCTTTTTCCGGGCCTCCCGGGGCCCCCGGGTGGCCCTCCAGGGCCCCCCCCTTCTGCGGCGCCCGCGGCCCTCCCCCCCACGACCCCAACCCCCTTCCCAGACCTCCTCGCGTCGTGAAAAAATCACGACAGGAGGTTTTTCGTTATTTTCGGCCTCTGGGGGTCCTTACCGGGCCTCGGGACCGTCAAAAAACGACTCGGGATGAAAAACCGGTCCCGGGGAATGGGTCCGGACCTCTGGGGGTCGCGTCATGAAAAAATCATGACGTCGGGGGTCTGGGTTGCGCGACAGCCAGCTCGCCCTCGCTCGGACGTCCATTCCCTGTTGTTTTTGCCGGTTTCGCGCGTGGTTTTTTCGCCAAATGGCCAAGGGCGCTCCTCGATGGTCCTCGCCGAAGGAAGAATGCACACGTCCGAGCGATGCCAAGACCAGCTCGCCCTCGCTCTCGCCTGCTCCCTGGGCCCGTGCGTCCGCCCTCCCCCCTCGCGGCCCACGGGCCGCCGCTGTTTTCGCTGTCCTTCTTGACAGTACGATCTACCCGATCGACCTGAGATCAAGATGGCGAGCGGGACTAAGATCGAATATACGGGGAGGAAAATATGAGAGCTCGAACGAATGGTGGAATTCCGAGAAACTGATTTTCGATCGACTAAAAAATTATGCAAAACACCCATCGGGACTCTTCCGGCCAACTGCCTGGCGCGCCTCGCTCGAGCCGTCGCGCTCCCCGCCTCTGCCCGCCGCGCCCCTCCGCCTCTGCCCCTCTCCGGTAGCCCGCGCTGGCCCCCCCCTCCGCAGGCCCGCGGCCCTCGCGCTGCGCCACGCTCGTCGACGCCCCGCGGCCCCGCCCCGGCCTGTGCGTCGTGCTGCCTCCCCGCGCGCAGGCCCACGGGCCGCCGCTGCTCCTGCCCCCCCCCCCTGGCGCGCCTCGCTCTCGGGCCGTCGCGCTCCCCGCTTCTGCCTGCCGCGCCCCTCCGCCTCTGCCCCTCTCCGGTCGCCCCCGCCGCCCCCCCCCCCCCCGCAGGCCCGCGGCCCTCGCGGCCTGCGCCACACTGCTCGTCGCCGCCCCGCGGCCCGTCCCTGCCTGCGCGTCGCGCGGCCTCCTCGCGCGCCACCTCCGCGGGGCTCCTCCCCCCAGTGAAGGGGCCCCGGGACACACAAATCAATACACGCAAATAAAAAGATCCCCCATACTTTCCTACATTTTCTGGGCTCTCGTCTTCCCCCCCACACACACTTCCCATATGTTCCTCTATGTTCTGGGGGAGTCGACGATTCACTGTGTCCGTGTGTCCCTCCCGACCCAGGTCGGCGCCCTGCCGGCGGCTCGGCCGCCCCCCCCCCCCCCCCTCCCTCGGCGGGCGCCCTCCCCCCTCCCCCCCTCCGCGGGGGGGGGGGGGGGGGGGGGGCGCCCGCGCGGCGCCCCTCCATCGGCGGGCGCCCTCCCCCCGCCCCCTCCGCGAGAGGGGGGGGGCGCCCGCACGGCGCGGCCCCTCCCTGCGGGCGGGCCCTCCGCGCTCTCCTCGCGCCATGGCCGGCTGCGCAGGGCCCCGGCCGCCCCGACGGCCTCGGCGGCGCCTCTGCGGGAGCCGCCTCTCCGGGGGCGGCCTCCGCCGCGCCGCGCGCGCGGCCACGACCGCCCAAATGAGTGCGCCTCTGCACTGCGCCGTCGCGAGCGGCCGGGAGGCCGGGCGCTCACGGACGCGCGTCCTGAGAGCGCTCTGCGGCGTCGCCTTTCAGGGCCACCCCCTGTTTCCACTCGCGCTCGGGAGGAGGCGGAGGCTGTGCACTCTGCCGGGCCTTCACGGATGAGCTGAAGAGCTCGCTGGCCGAGTGTCCACACTGGCGATGCCCGAATCCCATTGCACACTGAAATGCGGTGTGAAACTGAGCCAACTCTGTCTCGTAGACTACCGGCATCACAGTACATCGTGAGTTGTTGCAATACCTGCGCCTGCTGAGTACGATTTGCCTCAAATGTCGCGAGGGGAGGAAAGGAAGGACGAGGAGGGGAAGAAGGCAGAGGAGCAAGAGGATGAGAGGAGAAGGGAGGAGGAAGTTGAGGGGGAGAGAGGGCCAGGTGGAGAACGACGAAGATGGGGAGAACGACGACGACGAAGACGACAGCGCGACGGCCGATGAGCAGCAGGACGAGGACGACGTCTCGGACGAAACCAGAACAGATCGGCGAGCAACCCCGGTCCTAAACCTCTTACACCGATCCTGGCCCCGCCCATCCTGAAACCCAGGCCTGACGTATACTATGCGGTCCCGCCCTGCCCAGGAATGAAGGGGCCCTGGGACACACAAATAAATACACACAAATAAAAGGATTCCCCGTATTTTCCTATATTTTCGGGGTTTCCGTCTTCCCCCCCACTTCCCACATTTCCCCGTATTTTCCGGGGGAATCGGCGCTTCATTGTGTGTCTGTGTGTGCTTTTTGCCCTCCGACATCTGTACATGCTTACGCTGGGGAACCAGGCAAGCGCTTCAACAAAAGAAGCACTGCCCCCACTTCCCATATTTTCCCGCATTTTCCTGAGAAATCGGCGCTTCATTGTGTCTGTGTGTTTTTTGCCCTCCTGACATCTGCACATGTTTACACTGGGGAACCAGGCACCCAGACCCCCGACGTCATGATTTTTTCATGACGCGACCCCCAGAGGTCCGGACCCATTCCCCGGGACCGGTTTTTCATCCCGAGTCGTTATTTGACGGTCCCGAGGCCCGGTAAGGGCCCCCAGAGGCCGAAAATAGCGAAAAACCTCCCGTCGTGATTTTTTCACGACGCGAGGAGGTCTGGGCAGGCGCTTCCACAGAAGACGCACCGCAAAAAAGCCGCTGGGCGTCTGCCCTGCGCTGGCCAGGGAGCGCCTCCCAGCAGAAGCTAGGGCTCCCAACTTCGCGCTTCGCGCTGCGCGAAGCGCGAATAACTTCGCGCTCTCGCGCCGCCCTCCCAAAGGGAGAAGAGGAGGACGAGGAGGAGGGGGAGGAGGAACGAGGACCGCGAAGCGCGAAGCGCGAATAACTTCGCGCCCTCGAGGGAGCCCTTGGAACCAGGCAGGCGCTTCCACAGAAGACGCACTGCAAAAAAAGCCACGGGGCGTCTGTCCTGCGCTGGCCAGGGAGCGCCTCCCAGCAGCAGGCACGGGGCATTTTTTGTGGCAGGGTCCGAGGTCCCCGCGGGTCTCTTGGGTCGGCGCAGGAGGAGGAGGAGGAGGAGGAGGCGGAGGAGGAGGAGGAGGAGGAGGGGGAGGAGGAGGAGGAGGAGGAGGAGGAGGCGGAGGAGGAGGAGGAGGGAGGAGGAGGAGGAGGAGGAGGAGGAGGAGGAGGAGGAGGAAAAGGAGGAGGAGGAGGAGGAGGAGGGAAAAGGAGGAGGAGGAGGAGGAGGCGGAGGAGGAGGAGGAGGAGGAGAAGCAGGAGCAACCCCCCTCCCCTGGCGCGCGGGGCGCGCCAGGAGCGCCCAGAATCGGATCGACAGGTCGTGTCGGCGATCGGAACGAATCGGACCGGCGGGCATCGGCAGCCAAGTCGGGACAGGTCGCACCGGCAGAAAGCGACAGACTGGCAGGCCTCATGCCCAGACCTCCTCGCGTCGTGAAAAAATCACGACGGGAGGTTTTTCGCTATTTTCGGCCTCTGGGGGCCCTTACCGGGCCTCGGGACCGTCAAAAAACGACTCGGGATGAAAAACCGGTCGCGGGGAATGGGTCCGGACCTCTGGGGGTCGCGTCATGAAAAAATCATGACGTCGGGGGTCTGGGTGGAGAGATTGGCACCCAGAGCGGAATCCGAAATCGAATCGAATGGGAGAAATCGCAACGAGCCCTGAGCGCGCCTCTGGCACCGCCAGGCGGGTCCAGCGCCGCCGCGAGAAATCCGCGCGCACCTCCGAAAGCTCGCGCCCAGGCAGCTGTTATGGTGCTCAGGTGCGGCAGGTTCATGTCGCTGAGCCTTCGACGATCTTCGGACTTTCGATCGCCAGATCAGTCCATATTGGTCGCTTCTGCGTCGCCGCCGCGTTGGCACGACACGAACCTGCCCAACAGCCAGTGCCCCCCGACTGGAAGCGGCCAGGAGGTCTGAGCTGCATGGGTCCCGAGGGACTCTGGCAGGAGGGATGGATGAGGCCACCGCCGTTCAGAATGTGCCCCTGGTCCTGGGGCCCATCTGGTGAAACGCTTCACCCCAGATCCGTTCCTGACGGCCCCGGAAGCCGAACACGGCCCCCGGAGGCCGAAGGAGCCCAGAGACCTGCCCGAACCCAGAAGCTCAAAAAACTCGCGACCCCACCCTGCTCTCTGCCACCAGCGCTGGGCCACCTCAGACCCCCAGCCGGCTCCAGCCCCCCAAAACACCAACCCTCCACCCGGAGCGGCCTGCACAGTCCTTACCGGCCTGGAGCATATCCCTATCCCTATGCTGGGCACCTCCCCTATCACGATGCCAATCTTAGGGATCCCCTTATATGTTTGAGAGCGAAGCCCTAAGACTGTCATCGCCTTTTGGCGTGCCAATCTTAGGGATAGGGATACTCGGGAGCGGCAAAGAGGGGGGTGTCCAAGAGGGGGGGGTGCAAATCATGACCGGCGGCATGTGCGCGGCCCAGCGGGGGGGCCAGGGACGTCATGAAATAAGAAGAGGCGCCATGAAATCTGGGGAAATATCATGGCCCGCGCCATGAAATCCACCCCCCCTAGTCATCACCCCCTCTTTGGGCAGCCCCTCGCGGAGCGGCAAGGCACGAAGGCTTCCGCACCGATGGGCGAAAAAGCAACTGGAATTTTTGGGCTTTTGTGTCTTCGGCCCCCCAAAACACCAACCCTCAGCCCCGAGCGGCCTGCACAGCCCCTTCCTTTTGAGAGCGAAGCCCTGAGCTGGTCATCGCCTCTTGGCGTGCCAACCTCAAAGGATAGGGACACGCTCGAGGCCGGCACAGAGCGGCAGCCCCTCGCGGAGCGGCAACAAAAAGGCCGGCCCCGCGCGCCGCGCCGACAGCCCTGGCGCGCATGCGCGGCGGCTCCTCGGCGCCGCGCCGGCAGGGCGCGCGGCCGGAGGCCATCGCCGCGCGGGCTGCCCCGCCGACCGGGCCCGGAGC